TTGGAGTCGGCCTCGGCACCTTCCCGGCCCTAGGCCTTCTGGGCCAGACTGCACCTCCGACGGCGACCATTCCCTCTAGAGGCGCGCCTACATCACCCGCAAATACGGTTTCATTCATTCATGCCTGCACGCATTCATTCATTCATTCATGTAGCCCTGCGTCAGTTCAACCAAAATGTATTAATGCTTCCCACGTGACGAGAGTTCAGTTATGAAGTTTTTTGTTTGGTTGGCTGGTTGTTTTTTGTTGTTTTTTTTTTTTTTTTTTTTTTTTGCTTTCAAAGAGCTTACAGTCCAGTGAGGGGAAAACATTGAACCATTAACTGGCAAATCATCTTGTTGCAGAATTGTCCTGCTTGAACTGGGGAGATCTTGGAGAGCAAACGTGTTTCGTGGTAATAAAATGGACAGAAATTAGGAAATCCAGGTTTGAGCCCAAAAAGCCCAGGTTTGGATTGCTGTTTCTTTCAGGGCGGTGTTCATGCGATCCCTTGTGTCTGGACCCCCCTCCCATTAGCTCACCCTCCCTCACACCTCCTCCCACTCCCTGGGTCTTCCATACATAACACCCTTTTCTACTCCAGGTTAGTTCACTCTAATGCTGCAGGTGGCGGTGGTGGTTTGTTTTATTTATTTATTTATTTATTTATTTATTTATTTATTTATTTATTTATTTATTTTTATTTTTATTTTTATTTTTATTTTTATTTTTATTTATTTATTTATTTACTTTTTATTTATTCCTCCAGGACTCTTTTAGTGACCCAATACTGGAACAGCTTGTGTTCTTCAAGCTTGTTCCTACTCATGACACATAACTATAATCGTTTTACACGTCTCTTCAAACTATAATTTTTTTTCTTTTTTTTAAAGTTTTTTGTTTTGTTTTTTGCGTTTTTTTTTTTTTTTTTTTTTTTTTTTTTTTTTAGTAATCTCTACACTCAACGTGGGGTGGAACTCATGACCCCAAGATCAGGAGTCACATGCTCTCCTGATTGAGCCACCCAGGCGCCCCTTGAAACTGTAATTTTTCAAAAAATTATTCCACTTACATGAAGTTCAAGACCTGGTAAAACTAATCTCTAATGGTAGAATCCAATCAGTGCTCACCAGGGACGAACGTAGAATTGACTGCAAAAAAGCAGGAGGGAATTTGCTGGGGTTGGTGGAAATGTTTTTTATCTTGATTGGGTGGTGTACACCTTAGTAAAAACTCATTGTACTATACATGTAGAATATTTTCATATTTTACTTTTTGTCAGTTGTACTTCAATGAAGTTGAACTTTTTCTTTTTTTAACTAAGCAAACAGGAAAAAGGAGACAAGTCCAGGAAATTTAGAAGCTGTGCAAGAAGAAAAGTGCAATCATAGTACAACATATGGTTCAGCTATGAACTGCACTGACATGGCCATGATAATATAAGCAATAGGGGCAGCCTGGGTGGGTCAGCAGTTTAGCGCCGCCTTCAGCCCAGGGTGTGATTCTGGACACCTGGGATCAAGTCCTACCTCGTCGGGCTCCCTACATGGAGCCCATTTCTCCCTCTGCCTGTGTCTGTGTCTCTCATGAATGGATAAATAAAGTCTTTTAAAAAAATAATTTAAGCAATGAATATTGTTTTAACCAATGGGATAGAATTATGTTGAGAGAATGGAGGAAAGAGAAAATGTATGGAGGAGAGGGATGAGAGGGGTTTACAGAAGCAGCGATGAAATGGGAATGGGGGAGTTTCTACATGGGAGCTAAATCCTCATCTTCCATCATAAAAAGATAATATATAAGGAATATATATATATACACATATATATCTGCCCCTCTCTCTGTCTCTCATGAATAAATAAAATCTTTAAAAAAAGATAATATATAATGTCAACACTGAAAAATCAAGAAATAACAGTACAAGCATACAGTTTAGATTTATCGAGATAAATGCTAGAAGATACAGCTAAAAAGTTGGAATGAGTTGTCGTATAACTTGAGGATGGAAAGAGGTGAGATAGATCAAAGTTTGTTTTAAACTCTGTAGTTCTGTCTGACTTGTTTGCACATTTAATAATTTCATAAAACTTAAAATTAGATTTTTAAAATATGCATATCCTTTAATCCAGCAAGTCCACTTTCCAGAAGACATTCTAGGAAAATATTTAACTATATGTCAAAGATTTAACTTTAATACTGTTTGCCTCAGAGATGCCTGGGTGGCTCAGCGGTTTAGCGCCTGCCTTCGGCCCAGGGTGTGACCCCGGGGTCCTGGGATTGAGTCCTGCATTGGGCTCCCTGCAGGGAGCCTGCTTCTCCCTCTGCCTGTGTCCCTGCCTCTCTCTCTCTCTCTGTCTCTCAGGAATAAATAAGTAAAATCTTAAAAAGAAAAAAAAACTGCCTCAGATTGTATAAATAGCAATAAAGAAGAATTAACCTGAAGGCCCAATAAATGGCCACTAATTGAATATATTAGAATATCATAGCCATTAAAGTTAAAGCTTGAACATGAAGAACTCTCATACAAAATAGTGAGCATATATCAACGATTTATTTAACTCAATCCTGAGAGAATCAGCAAGATGACAACACTGGTTCAAAGGAAAACATGAAAAACTGATATATAGTCACTAGTCAGAATGCTGGGGGCACCTGGGTCAGTCAGTCTGTTAAGCATCTGCCTTGGGCTCAGGTCATGATCCTGGGATCAAGCCCCGCTTCCAGCTCCCTGCTCCACGGGGGCTTGCTTCTTGCTCTCCCTCTGTTTGCTGCTCCCCGTACTTATGATCTCCTCCTGTCAAATAAATAAATAAAATATTCAAAAAAGAAAGAAAGAAAGAAAGGAAATAGAATGCTGGAATAAAATTGCAAAGTTAAATAAGAAAAAAAATGGTTTTAAAGTCTTCCAAAGCCATAAAGCTATAGACTTTGAGGTTTTCTTTTCTATCAGATACAACTCATTGGCTTCTATTTGGGGAAAAGAAACAAATAACATTTGTAACTTGCCCATTTTCCCCCTGGAAATAACAAATTTATTTAATTGTTAAAAATTGTGGTAAAATACACATAACACAAAATTTATCATCTGAACCATTTTTAAGTGTACAGTTCACTAGTGTTAGTTATATTCACATTCACATACCTGTACAACCTCCAGAACTCTCTTCATCTTGTAAAATTCTGTGCCCATTAAACCACAATTCATTTCTCCCTTCCTCCTTACTCCTGGCAAACATCGTTCTACTTTTTGTCTCTATAAACTACTCTAGGTATTTTTACATAAGTAGAATCAGATGACTTTTGTGTTTTTGTGACTGGTTTCTTTCACTTCATCATTTAAAATTCACCCATGTTTTTTAGCATGTGTTGAAATTTCCTTCCTTCCTTCCTTCCTTCCTTCCTTCCTTCCTTCCTTCCTTCCTTTTTTTTTTTTTTTTTTTAATGTTAGCTGAAGGGCACTCCTGGCCAAGGTGAGGCTGATTTTGCCCTTCTCATCCACCTTATTGTATTGCAGGGTGGCTAGCTGAACCTTCTTTCTCTTATGCTTATTCTTCTTGGGAGTGGCATAAGGCTTCTGCTTTTCTTAGCACCACCATGAAGTCTCAGCACAAAACGAAGGACACTGTAGTCAGACAAAGAACGTCCACTTTCAGTTCCTTGCAAGTGAAGATGGGTCTCTGCTCATCAAGAGGAATTCCTTCCTTATCCTGGATCGTGGCCTTTACATTTTCTATTGTATTTGAGGGTTCAACCTCAAGATAGTCTTTGCCATTAAGGTTTTATGAAAATCTGCATCTTGGCAGCGATTCCACCACAGATGATGGATGGGAAAGGAGAACGTGGCAACAACCCATGGGGTTTTCCAAATTTCCTTCTTCTTTTAAGGCTGAATAATTCCATTGTAGGTATATATATATATACATATATATATATATATAGCATTTTATTTATCTATTCATCTGTTGTTGGATTGTGAATAATGCTGCTCTGAACACGGGCATAAAATTATGCCCATAAAATTATGGTCTTTCAGACCCAGCTTTCGGGACACCTGGGTGGCTCAGTGGTTGAGCATCTGCCTTCAGGGTGTGATCCCGGAGTGCCAGGATGGAGTCCCACATCGGGCTCCGCACGTGGAGCCTGCTTCTCCTTCTGCCTATGTCTCTGTCTCTCTGTGTCTCTCATGAAATAAATAAAACCTTTTTAAAAAGAAAAAGACCCAGCTTTCAATTATTTTGGATATATTTCCAGAAGTATAATTGCTGAAGCGACTTATCCAGCTTTTATTTTATTTTTTTTAAGATTTTATTTATTTGACAGAGAGAGAGAGTGAGTGCACAATCAGGGGGAGCTGCACAGGGAGCGCCCCGCCGAGCAAGAAGCACAACATGGGGCTCCATCCCAGGACCCTGGGATCATGACCTGACCTGAAGGCAGACACTTAACCGACTGAGCCACCCAGGCACCCCTTATCCAACGTTTAAAAAGTTTAACATCTACTTTACAGAGTCAAGATCCTAATCAATAATTAAACAGTATGTCGAACAAAGTTACCTTCCCCTAAAGCATCAGATGACCAACAGGTGGACCAGCTGGACAATATTCTAATATGACCGTAAATAAGCTCAAAGTAATCTCTTTGCTTTATTTCCAGATCTTGAATAATTTTTCTTTGCAGTCTCCCTTGCTAAGAGGGTAGGGACACTGTGCTGCTGACCATTTTATTCCCAGTGGCTAGGCCCAGTAGTACTGTTGAATAAATGACGTGTCACTAAGACCTACATCACCTGGCTGTTGTGAGGACGTCATGAGATGTTGCTTACAAACTGCCTGTCAAAGTCTGTCACATAGTGGCTGTTTAAGACATAGGAGTAGTTAATAGTATTGTTATGCGGTAGCTGGGAAGGGTGGCTAGTTATGACTCAGAGCAGGGGGCAGCCATGGCTCCTGTCATGGAGGGTAACTGTCCTAGAAGGGTCACCAAGTCAGGGTCTTGGGGCCTGGGTGCCTCCAAGCCATAATGCTGGGGGAACTAATAACTCTTTTCGGGTATCTCCATGGGATACTTGCTTCTTCTGGCACCATAGGAGCAGTGGTGGCTTGGCTGATCAGCTATAAGCCAGCCTTGTTTGGGTTCCTATTCCTTCTGCTGTTGCTTAGCAACTGGCTGGTCAAGCATGAACTCAAGCCCACCCCCTCAGAGCCCCCACAGGTGAGCAAGAGGGGCCTTAGCTTCAGCTAAGGATGATGGGATATGTACAGCTAGACTGGGGGTTTGGGGGACAGGGAAGATGTCAGGATAATGGGGCAAGACCGAAAAATCCACAGCTCTGATCTCAGCCCCCTCTCTGCAACTCCCACTTGGGTGATGGAGGACAAAGGTTTCCTTTACAAGGTCTCAATTGCCTGGGCTGTAAAATAGGGACCAACTCTAGACAAAACAAAAACAAAAACAAAACAAAAAACTGAAATGAAACAAAACAAAAAACCCACAATAAAAAACTCTTAAAATACAGAGAACAAGCTGGTGGTTCCCAGAGGGGAGGTAGGTGGGGAAGGGGTGAAATAGATAAAGGGGGTGCCTAGGTGGCCCAGTAGTTGAGTGTCTGCCTTCGACTCAGGTCGTGATCCCAAGGTCCTGGGATGGAGTCCCACATCGGGCTCCCCGCTGAGTGCCTGCTTCTCCCTCTGCCTGTGTCTCTGCCTCTCTGTGTCTCTCATGAATAAATAAATAAAATCTTTAAAAAAAAACAAAAAGAAATAAAGGGGATTAAGAGTAATTTATCTTGATAAGCACTGAAAAATATATACTATCAAAGAATCACTATATTGTATACCTGAGACTAATATAACACTATTAGTTACACTTCAATAAAAAGAAAAGAAAGAGAAAAAACTTGTTTTAAAAAAAATAGGGACCATCCCAGACTCTCCTACTTTGTGTTTGATATCAACATGGTTTGGCAACAGTAACAACTGCTTTATAAAGTGGAAATTTTTTAAATTGATGAACTAAAGATACCTATAGAACATAGACACATCTCCAGGACAGCATAATAAAGACAGTAGAAATGTACCCAGATTATGACATCTTTTATGTCAAGTTAAAAGAACATGTGAAACAATATCCTGCCTTGTTTTATGGATGCCTACGTATAGCAAAAATATGTTTAAGGTTGGGTCTCTCAACCTCTGCGCAATTGATATTTTGAGTTGGATAATTCTACATTGTGAGGGCTTGTCCTGTGCACTGTTGGATGTTTAGCAGAATCCTTTGCTTCTACCCACAGGTGCCAATAGCACTTTTCACTCCTCTTTTGTGACAACCAATGTCTCCAGACATTTACCAAATGTCCTGCAGGGAAGGCAAAATAGCCTGCCATTGAGAACCGCTGGTATCAAGAAATGTATGAAAAAGATAAATCCGGAATTCAGGATTGCAGTTGAGATGAGGTTCAGGAAGGGAGGGAACTCTATGGGAGGGACCCACAGGGGATTTCAGTTACATTTGTCATATTTTATTTCTCAAGCTGGTAGGGAACATGGATATTTGCTGTAACATTCACTTTTTTTTTTTGCATGTCTGGAATATTTAAAATGTTTTTTTAAATATTTTATTTATTTATTCATGAGAGAGAGAGAGAGAGGCAGAGACACAGGCAGAGGGAGAAGCAGCCTCCATCCTGGGTCTCCAGGATCACGCCCTGGGCTGAAGGTAGGCACTAAACCACTGAACCACCCAGGGATCCCCTAAAATGGTTTTAAAGATGAGGAATTTGTAGCAGAACCCAAAAAGAAAAAAAAAGTATTTATTAACTGTGTAGGGCTAGATGAGGATCATAGTGATTAGAGGCATGTCGTGAGACCATGGGAAGCTCGGCAGGTGGTGATTTTATGAGGCCTGATGACAGTCTCAGAGAGGCACACTGGGAGAAACACAAGCTCCGGAGATAGACATATGTGGGTTAAATGCTTTATTTCCCCTGCGAATGCAGATGAGCAGGCCATTTCGTTTATGCCTATGGAGCAAAGACAAGGACAGGTCCTAGGAGTTTGGGGGCTTCCAAGCTGAGAAGAGGACCTTTCCTCACTGGACCCCAAATCTCTCACCCACAAGGTGTGGCAAAGATGCTCTCCTTGCAGGCTGATTGTGAGGACTGATTAATGGGGTATTTAAATAACACTATTAACCAACGTTTCCTTTTTTGTGGTGGGGGGAGTCTAGGAAGAGGCAGAGAAACCAAAGCCTCCTGAAGCCAAACCCAAAAGCTTCGTCTTGAACACAAAAGAAGTCGAGAGACTGCATGCCTGCTTCGCCCTCCAGGACAAAGTCCTTGAACGGCTTATGTTCAGTGAAATGAAGCTGAAGGTCTTAGAAAATCAGATGTTCATTGTATGGAATAGAATGAATCACTGCAAGAGGTCAAACCGGCAGCGGACTTTTCCCGCGAGGAAGCACAGAATAAGGAGGCAGGACTCAATTTTCTCCATCAACTCTGACTGTACTTCTAACTCCCCCTAATGAGGTCAGAGAGACTGGGGTGGGCTGGCCTGTTCGGATGTTACCTTTACTCAGTAAAACCCAGTCAGAGACTATTGAATTTTCTTAGTAAATCACACTGGAGAGCAGGATTGGAGGCTGAAAAAGCCAATCACCTTTGGAAAAGAAATCAGTACTCACTAGGTCGGCCACACAGCACTCTAAGATACAACCTGAGGGGGCTCCAGAACCCGGCTCCTCCTCTCCTTCAGTTGATCACCTTAACCCTAGTCCAGGGCCCTATACCTGTTCACCTGGAGTCTTACAATGGCCTTTCCAGGGCTGCCCCAGCTCCCAGTCTTCCCCTTCCCCTTTGCTCAGAGGCCAGAGCCGAGCTCTGCCAAGTGCGGCTTCGGACTGCCTGTTCTCAAGCCTACACCTCGCTGTGGTTGACAGAATAAAGGCCTCCTTACCATGGTGTTTAGACCCTCCATGATCTGACCCCCTTTCCAGGCCGGTTTTCCCTCTTCCTCTCCCTCATGTGCTTTATACCTTGTGCCAGAGAGTATCCTGAACATCAGTCACTGGAGTAGCCCCTTTGTGATTTTTGCCAGAGCCACGAGCCACCTGAATGTTTGACTCAATACTGTCCCTTTAAATGGACTTTTTTTCCTTAAATAAATTTGTGAAGGAAAGTCATAATAAAAATAATGATCTGTACATTAAAAAGCAGTATCATTGGGCTGAAATAGAACATGACTGTCAAAAAGTAAAAGACAATAAAGACAGAACAATGTTACGAAAATTCCAACCAGAGCTTGGTTGCCCACTGAAGGGTCTGAGCCTGGGAATTTGGGGTTAAAAAGCGAGATTAGCAAGTATTAGCATTTGAGAGAGGGGCTAGCACCAACATAAGGAGAACTAGAGGGAAATCACCACCTCACTGTGGGATCAGGTGAGGCTTAATGCCTTGTCGGTGCCCCACCTAAAACCATCTCTAATCAAACCAGATGGCTGGTCATCCCCCCAAAGCATCCACGTCTTCGCTCACATGATGTCTTCCCCTGGAATCCCTTATCCTCCCCTTTCTACTATTACAATTCTTCAGTCGTTCCCAAACCACACCTCCAGAAAGCTTCCCTAACCCAACCGGGAAGAGTCTCCTTCCTTGGTGCGCTCCCAGCATTTTATCTACAGTTCGACACTAGGATGTGTCACTGCTGGGATTTGATTTGTACACCTTTCTATATTCCCTCCCCATCCTCCAACTAGATTATAAACTCTCTGAGGGCAAGCACTGCCTCTTGTTCATCTGTATATTGCCTCCCACAGCGCCCAACAGTGTGGCTAGCATATAGTCAGTGCTTAATAAATAGCATCTCTGATTGTTGATCACAGTCTTGTGTCCAGACATGTTCTCAGTGTTCTCCTTTTATGATGACTCTTCTGTATCTTGATTTCTTTTCTTTACTTTTTTTTTTTAAAGTAGGATCTCTGGAGCCCAATTGCCTGACTTTAAATCCCACCTCTATCAACTCCCCGCTGTGTGATCTTAGATAATTCTGAGTTGTTTATTCTTGCTGTGTGTCAGTCTGCTCAACTGTGAAATGGGGAGAGTAGTACTCCCATCCTCATTGCATGTTGTAAGGATTAGGTGAGCTACTACACCCCCTCAGGTCTTTCCTCCCATGACCTCTGCTTAACTCACAACCCTTCCTTGTGGGTCAGGTCTATTCATGCCTCTCCAAGACCACTCTCCATGCTGGGGTTGCCTCAGGCTGGTTTAGGGCTGGCTGGGTTCCTTCACAGAGGGTCACTCCTCTCAGGAAGGCTCTTTCTACAGGACCTTCTTCCAGGTTCCCTTTGGAGCCGGGGGTGGTAAGCATCCTCCATTTTCCAGTCCTGGGGTATACTACATTATCTTTGTGGGGTCCCTATATGCTGCTCACACCTTTAAAAAAAAAGATTTTATTTATTTATTTATTTGTTTGTTTGTTTGTTTATGAGAGACACAGAGAGTGAAGCAGAGACATAGGCAGAGGGAGAAGCAGGCTTCCTGCGGGGAGTCCAATGTGGAACTTTATCCCAGGACCCCGGGATCACACCCTGAGCCAAAGGCAGATGCTCAACCTCTGAGCCACCCAGGTGTCCCTGCTTACACCTTTGTAAACAGTCCCTTTCACAAAGCTTCACGGGCCACTGCTAGTGGTCTTGCTGTATGGCCAGGCCATTGGACCACCCAGAATTGGACTATTAGAATATCCATATGGAAACCTCTGCTGTGGAAACAGATAAAACAATTCAGCCCCAAACTCCAAATGTATGTGATATATAACAAGCTCACAATAAGGCACTGCATCTTAACAGAGCCTCTGGACAGAAAATCTGATCAGAGCTGTTTGGCTATCATATCCAATTGGTGCCCTAGATCATGCCTGCACCTACCACAATAACAAAACCATCATGGAGGTCTGAGGTGGCCACCAGTGAGGATCCACTTGACCTATGACATCGCTGGTACTCAGAGAGTATGTCTTGCTTGCTAGAAATGCTGGCCTGTGGCTCAAAGTATAGCACAACAACTTGGGGGATTTGACAAATTCAGAAGAGGCAAATTGGGTGCAATGGATTCTGACCACTGTAGGATATGAGGTGGCTATTCTCTTCATTAAGCTAGACTCCTAAGGTTCTGATGAGCCCCTTTGCCATGTGCTAAAATTTCTCAAAATGGCACAGTCTGACAATGAAACTCTGTTTACAGTCGCTGCCTCCCAGTTGTGGGCTTTACGTCACTATGGAATTTGCTTGCTCTTCCACACTTGCCACCTGCAAGATGATTGGTACAACAGAGCTTTGCAATGGCTCGTTCAAGGCGCCATTACACCAGCACTTTGTCATCAAGCTCTGTGGGCACCTAGGAAAGAGAAGGGTATCTCTGACTTGTCAGGTAGAATGCTGACTCCTGGGCTCCTACGGTGACAATGCTCTGGGAAAGGACAAATCACTTGGCTCACCCGGGCACATGACACCTCACGGGTGATCTAGCAAGAACACATGCAAGCAATCTCAGGAAACAGACCAGGGTGGAGGGCTAAGTAAACTTGCCTTCTCTTCCAGATTTGGACAGGCAATGCTGAACAGCTTCTAGCAGCTGCCCAGGCCAGGGCCCATGGCACAAACCTATCACAGTACTCAACCTACCATCACCCTTATCCCTGCCCACCATACCCAGCTGCAGGAGACTTATCAGTGACTCACCCTCTGACAATGGCAAAGACATTGCTCCTAGCTGGCCACAGCCACCAACAGCTATGTCTTGGGCCTCCACAACCATGTTCCTGTCCCTTGCTCAGATGGTGTTGAAGCCCACTGGCAGAGTACAGAGCAGCACCCTTCATATCCTAGGACTGTTTTGTGCTCTGGTTATAGGTTCCTGCATCTGGTAAGGACTCCATGGCCAGATGGCTCAGGCCTCTACCATGGGCTTTGTACTGATCACTCCAGGCTTCTCTCCTTTTGGGGAGTCTCACCCAGTATTGCCAACAACAGCCGGAAATCCCTTTACCAGCCCAGCTGATTTCTACCCCTGTTGTTTATTACACTCTTCTTGATCTCCATCCCTGGTGGGCAGGCCTATGTTCAATGAGCCCTAGGTCAGGAGATGGACCTTGGAAAAACAATCTCTACTGGAAGACCCTAAGAGCTCACTCCAGGTTCTAGCAATGAGATGACAGCAGGTGGACTCTAGAGCAGACTCCCTTCCCAGATGCAGAAATGATTCCAGAAGGTCTCCACTCCCCTTAGGATCTTCAGGTGCCTTCAGTACACAAGCAATTTTGCTGGTGCCTGAGCTCAGACCAGTTTTTCTTTACTTTTGAGGCTGACCTCATGCTGGCTAGACAACAATAGAGTAGTGGGGCGGGAGGATCAAGGGGTCTTCTGGGGCACACTTCAGGATGTTTCCAGCCATGGCCTAACCCTTGAACCTCTCTCCATATGATGAGAGAGTTCACAATGCACCAGCACCTCATTAACCGCTGATCTGTCACTTCTGGTTTCCTGAGTGAAACCCGATTTGCACTTGCGCTGCATGACTTTGTGGTATCTGCCTTCATCCAGCACTCACATCTCCTGGACCTCGGGGCTCAGTGTTCAGATCCCTCCTTCACTTCATTCCACTCCCTGGTCATGGCTTTAAATACTATCTCCTATTTTCTAATGCCAACGATTTTCTAAATTATATCTTTGATACAGACCTCTATCTTCCAGATTCGAATGGCCAGTTGCCTACTTCCATACTTTCACTCAGACATCCCAGAATTAACGAGTCCTGAACTCTGCCCCTCTGCTCCAAACCCCTCCAACCTGCAGGCTTCTCCCTTCCAGTGGTTTAGGCCAAAAACTGTAGAGCTGGTCCTGAGTCTTCTCTTTCTCTCTTGTGTTTAGCTCTAACTTATGAGCAAGTCCTACTGGCTCCACCTTTAAAGCATGGCCAGAGTCTGGGACTCCAGCTGCCTCCACTATTGCTCCAGACCACCACCATCTCTGACCTGGGATAAGCCCCTGATCTCCCCACCCCCCAACTCTGGCCCTCTAAGCAGCCCTCAACACACAAGCCCGAGTGGTCCTTTAAAAACGTGAGTCATGTCATGCTGCTCCTCTGCTCCAAGCCCTGCAAAGGGCTCCCATGTCACTCAGAATGAGAACCAAAGTCCTTCTTTCAGCCTATGAGGTTCTCCATGACCCCTCTTTACCTTGCTGACCTGGCCTACTGGCCTGCCCCTCACTTAGTCTGCTCCAGCCACCAGTCTCCTTGCTTTTCCCTTGGCACACTGGGCACACTCTCGACCTCTAAGAGGCCTTTGCAGTAGATGTCCCCCCTACCAGGGACTCTTCCACTGCTGGTCACATACCTAACTCCCATATTCCTCTAGGTGATTTGCTAAATGTTTCTTTCTCAGTGAAGCCATCCTGACCTCCCAATTTAACACTATAACCTCCACCCCAGCTCTACTTATTTTCCATAGTCTGTGACACTTCCT